GGATGTCGGCCCAGAGGTGCTGCCAAGACGCGAGGGACGTACAAGCAGATAGTGCACCACTACTCACGGCGTTTGAAGAAGCTGCAGAAGTTCAGGATCTGTATTCCGACAGAGGCATCGACGAGGATAGCCAGGTTGCACCGGACTGGGGCAAGACCAGCCTTGATATATGGCGTAGAGGTCAACGACGCCAGCGATTGTGAGCTCAACGCCCTGAGGAAGAAATGCCAGAAGTACCAGGAGCCATATCACGGTGGAGTCTCATGGGCTGCGAAGATGGTAATGCACGGAGATCCTGCGATCAGGGAAGCTTCTGCTCCAGCTACGCAATGGTGCAGAATGTTGTGGCTATCCCGAGCTTTCCCTGCTCGGGCCATGGCTACGACGGCGCAGTTACTCGATTGGTGGCAAGCTGCAGTCAATGTTCCTGGTATCGTGGCGGAATGGTCTTTAACGCGTGGTTCACTGCAGCGTGTGGCTCTATCCATTGGACGCGCAGGCTGGCGGGCACTCTCTGGCGACAGGTGGCTGAATCATAATGGCGAAGTGGCGCAGGTGGACCTACTAACCCCAGTCATGTTGCAGCGGCTCCTGGAGGAAGGTCTATGCCGTCAGCATGAATTACGTGTGGGCCAAAAGTGATTTGATGACCCTTATGCTCGAGTTTCCTTCGATCTCATACGCCCCTTCACCAGAGCAAAATCGATGCAGTTCAATCAGCAACAGAAGTTTTTGCAGCAGGAGCTGTATGCGCGCTGGAGAGTGGACACGGTCCCGAGCGCTGCGCGAGGGCTACATCACTGATGGTAGGTGCGAGTGCGGGATGATGGACATGCTGCGCGTAGGCTGGCTGATTGCACGCTGGCGCCTGTCCAAGATGCGCGGCGTGAGGCAGCGGTGGGCGAGGAGCTTCTGCACAACATCCGTGGCTCTCCTGACGAGAAGACTCTACTCAGCGGCTGCTTCAAGTTCACCAGCGCCGACATTCCGAAAATGAATGCAGGTGCCCAGGCGTGCGTAGTGGGCGCGCGCGGTCACGACGTGGACTCAGCTCCTGGAGCCCTGGTGGCGGATGCGGTCCCTGAGGACACCGAATTCATCGAGATTGCCATCGGCGGTTCGTGCTCGAAGCCGGGGCTCCTGGTCCTGCAGCGTGCTGGATGGGCAATCGCCTTGTTAGGTCCACAGTCAGATGTGCCACTGAAGAGTACGTTTGCCCCTGTGCCGTCGACCCTGCCCCAAACTTCGGCGATGGCGGAGTGCCTGGCTTATGCGTGCACTGGGCAAGTGGCTGACCGAAAGTGCTGGGCGTATACTGAATTCTTGGGCACGGCGAAAGCGGCCATTGCATCGGACAACAGGCAATCAGCGGCGAACTCGATGTACAGCGGCGTGTTGCAGTTTGCGAAGAGTATGCCTGGGGAGTCAGGCGTGGGAAAATGATTCACATCAAAACCCACAGGTCTGGTGAACACTATGAGAAGCTGGATGACGCCATGAGGAGGTTAACGGACGGCAGCGTGATGGCCGATCATTTCGCGAAGCAGGGTGCCAGGATGCGTGAGGCCAGTGCAGATGATCTTGCCGAACGCATACAGCAAGCTGATGACAGGTGCTTCAAGTTGGCTAAGCTGGTGGCGGGCATTCTCCCCTTGCACACGAAGGAGACCCAGGGGTGGGCGAGAGCCCAAGGGTGCAAGGAGGTACGAAGCACTAGGACGCAAGGTTAACATCAGTGTGTTGACACGCCCCCGGGCACTCAGCGCACTCAGTGCTTGCAGCTCCACGGCCAGGACGAGCAGGATGTCGTGAATGATTGCCGCGGTGCGCCCTCCTTCTTGGTTGATTTCTCACGAGCACCTCTCGGGCGCAGGTTCGTAGCAATGAGTCAGCGAGGTGATCTTGCATCTGCAGTTGGTGGGACGGTATTTGCATGTGTTGGCTGTGGTGCGTGGGCACAACATCGCAGGGATATCGAGCTCAAATCCGAGTGTATTTACCCCGCTGCCAAAGGAGCCGAGGTGCTGCGCAACCTGAGGAACGGTGTCGGGCCACACCGAAACCTCGCAAAGTACATCGACGCAGCCGTGCAGACCGGTACCGTGGCTAAGGGGGCGGGCGCAGCCATCAAGGAGAAGACCTCAGTAGTGCGAGCTGTACCTGACGGCCCTTACGACTTCGAGACAAGGATGGCAGCGCTGCGCGAGCGGATCAAGAGAAAGGAAAAGGATAAGGAACTACAGCGCGACGAGCAGAACACCTTCCTCGGCAACAGTGCTGCGTCTGCGCTGGCTACTGACATACAGCCCCAAATGGCCAGAGATGTGCATTCCTCTGGGCTGGGGGCACGTACGAGCAGGAGTACATCATCATCGTCATTGGCGGTTGATGGAACTGGAGGTCAAAGCATGGAGACCGACGCGGCGGGGGGCACAAGTGGCGTTTCCAGGCGAAATGCACTGGAAGAGCCACCCCGTCGGTTGCGGAGGAAGTGCGGCGACCAGAGGTGGAGTGTGGTGAAGGCTACTATGAGCTCGGCTTCTTCCTGCCAATCGTCGCGAGCTCAAGCTGTTGGCCATCAATGTATTACGGAGACCAATGGCTGAGTTGATTCCGAGGAATCTGGAGCTGCGGGATGGCACTTAGATTATTCGCTGGAGAGCAGATGTGGGTTATCGAGCTCCTGAGCGCCATCGTGTTGCTGATGATGGTGCTAGAACGCAAGTCCCAGCCCTCAGGTGCACCCACAGGGGTAACCAGCGTGTGGGGCTGGGCTCAGTCGCCTTGGCTTTTGCTGGAGCCTGCGCCCTGGTGCACCCACGAGGTAAACAGTGCGTGGGGCAGGCCCGCCTCGAAGCATGCAGCTGGAAGTGGTCAATGCATGGAGGTCGACGCGGCTGGTGGCGCAAGTGGTGTTTCCAAGCGAAACAAACTGGAAGAGCCACCCAGCCGCTTGCGGGTGAGATGCGGCGACCAGTATCAAGCTGTGGTGCAGTCGAGCACTACGGATACCGCGCTGAGCTGATTCGAAGAATCTGGCGCCGCGGGATGGCACTCAGCGTGGTCAGACAGCCGCAGATGCGGCACAGGTTCTACGTGCGGCAGTTCGTCTACTTCAGGGAGCTGCCGCCGCTGCACGAGGAGGACCTGGGCGGGGCGGCCGCGGCCTGTGGCGCGGCCCCCCCTGTGCGCCAGGTGGCAGGACCGCCGTTATCGGCGTTGCTCTTCTTCTTCTTCTTCTTATTAATATTATTCGTCTTCTTCTTCTTCTTCATCACCGTCATCATCATCACCACCATCACCGTCACCATCATCTTCACCATCAGCATCATCGACTCATCATCCTCATGATCCTCATCGCGGCTCGCCCAAGCCTGGAGACACGAGGTGTCACATGTGCCGGCCTCCCGTGCCCCCCCCCCCCGAGCAGTCCCCACCCGGAATGCTGGGATGCCACGGCGGCGGGACTTGTCGCAGCGCCGCCTGACAGAGTCCCCGTGAGCCGCCAGCGGAGGGGGCGCGAAACCCAATGCCGAGCCAGCCACCGCTGGCGCACGCCCCCCCCTGACGCGAGAGCTGTTCTGGCACGCGCGCAGATGTTTGGCCTGCCTGCAGCGCCTCCAGCATGGTGTCGCCCTCGAGCTCTTCTCGATCCATGTAATAGAGGAAAAAGAACTATACACATACACCGATTCTGGCCAGGCCCATCCTGCGCCCAGGATCGGAGCATACGCCCTTCTACCTTGGCCAGCAAGGCATATGCACCGATCCTGGATCAAGGATGGGCCTTGCCAGGATCGGCGCATGTGCATACATCGCCGTGGCAAATGTTCTTTCAATTTGCCTTTTGGAATGACGCACTCGTGCGGAGTAGCTCGGAATTGTTTTACTAAAACTACTCCGCGCGCAATCGCGCCCCGCTGGATAATTTATATGGTTTGGCGCGGAGTAGTTTCCGACCCCGTTTTGGGGTAACAGAGTTATGAACGTCTCCGGGATCGGAAACTACTCCGCCGAATGATCCCAGCATCATGTCATGCTAGGAAGATTAAGAAGGATGGGAGAGACCTTCATCATAGCAAATTGAAGGAACTTTTGTCACGGCTGTGTAGTTCTCTTCTCCCGATGCAATCGGTTTCCAGGGCCCCCCACCCACAGCCCCCCAGCTGCGCGCACCCCCCCGTCCTCTCGAGCTTCTGTGGGCGGCCCCTCGGCGCCTCACCCGGCGGCCTCCCAGGGATGCCAGAGAAGAGGCCTCGATGGCAACCCCAAGGGCCCCCCCCATCGAGGGCCCCGACACCAGGCGTCTCTCAAACCCAGACCTGCGACTATGTTTTTTCCCTGCACCGTCCCAGAGGCCCCGACCCCTTCCCCAAAGGCAGTTGTTCGTCCCAGATCCATGGTTGATGGTCCCGGGGCACAGTGACTCGCCCCATACGCCAAAAGCGAAAGGAGGAGAAGGAGGGGGAGGAGGAGGAGGAGAAGAAGGAGAAGGAGGAGGAGGAGAAGGGGGAGGAGGAGGAGGAGGAGGAGGAGGAGGAGGAGGAGGAGGAGGAGGGAGGAGGAGGAGGAGGAGGAGGAGGAGGAGGGGGAGGATGAGGAGGAGGAGGATGAGGAGGAGGAGGAGGAGGAGGAGGAGGAGGAGGAGGAGGAGGAGGGGGAGGAGGAGGAGGAGGATCGAGGAGGAGGAGGATCGAGGAGGAGGGGGACACGGCGTCTCCATGACCTGTGCTTCCCAGGTTGCTCGGCTCAGGGTGGCCTCTGGAGCGGCGCCCACCCCGTGGCCCAAAAACGGCCAACACTGTCCAAGAGACCGCCCAGACGGCCCAAATCGAGCGTCCAACGAGCGCCACAGCACTCCCAGACAGCTCACGGAGGGCCCCAAGAAGTCCCCGGCGTGCCCCTGGACGACCCCTGAGGCGCCCACATAAATATCTTATTGACCAAAATAACCACTGCGTTTTGGAATATCATCTTCCTGAAACATTTGCTCTCAGGACCTGAACCCCCTTCATAAGCGCCTGGCCGATGGCATTGAGATACACGGCGGGCCAGACAGTCCCGGGCAGCGCCATCTTGTCCAGCCCTACCCTCAGAGTCCCCGGCACACATGGCGGCCCGAGGTCTTGCAGAGCCATGCGGATGGACTTCTTGGACGCCTTGAACATTGCGACGAAGGCGTCGTCCGAGGGGCGCGCCTTGTGCAACCTTGGACGACCCACCCCTTGGATCGAACCATACCGGCCCATGGTGATCATGCGCACGTCATGGGGCCCGCGGCTCCGTCTAGGATCAGCATTTGGCCGAAACCAACTCAACAGCATCTTGAAACGACCCCCTCCAGACTCGGGGGGAAACCTCTTCGCGTATCCAGGGGGGAACACTGCCGTCCTGCCCTCGGGGAATTCGCTCACTGTCACGCGGGTCTGGAGGGGAGTTGGCAGCCAGTCGGGGAGCTTGTCGACAAACCACCCTACACAGTTCGACTGCATTTTCTGGATGAAGCTCCACTGCTTGTCCAGGTAAATATGCCCGTCGCGGGCACACCGCCCTGCGGCCTGCATCGAGAGGTCGTGTACTGGATTTTTCTGAAGATAGTGCGCATCCCACAGGTTATGCCCTCCTTGAAAGAGGTGCACGCCATCCACTGCGATAATCTTTGCATGGTTCCATGACACCCCCCTGCGCCATGCACCGACCCACAACTGAATGTTACAGGTATCCTTCCGGATGCCGCTCACGAGCTCTCTGATCAAAGCATGGCAATTGACAGGCATGCCGATGATGTTTCCGAACATGATGCGGATGATTATGGGTGGTCCTCGTTGTTCCACTGCAGTGGTATTGATTGACTGTATTGCCGTCTTCATGCGTTCCATGAATTTGCCGTCTGGTGGGCTCAAACTCGCGACGTCGCACCAACGCTTGGTTTTCGCCATGATTCCCGCAATCCTTTCCGGGAGCCAATCAGAATGCCCTTCGTCTGGATCGTTCTGACTATGCCATGTATTCTGGGGTGTATCACACACCCTGCCTATGATCTGCCCCGAAGTAACATTCCAACACTCGTGATGGGAATAATTGTGGCTCCAACGCAATGTATGGTATGCTGCTTCCGCGATGTACGAAATACCTTCTGCACTCTTGTCCTTACACTCGCCTGTGGAAGACAAGTCGTCTGTGTCCTGCCAGCAACACTGCATTGGCAATATAAGTGGGACAATCGCCACTGGGGACTCAGAGCCAGACCAACTTGAGCCAGCGCGGGTAAACGGAGAAAACGCGAGCGTGTGAGCCCGAGCGTGGGGTGCGGACCAGAGGCGGTTGACAACAGAAGACTGGATGCGAGGCGGAAGGGCTCCCAACGCACCCAAGGCCTTGGTCAGACCTGCTTCTCCCGGGCACACGCCGACATGGAACACGGACTACGGATCCGCAGATCTGACACGTGGGCGCTACCCCCCCGTGCAAAAGGCAGCTGGTGTTTTTCTACACGCCTCCCCCCCCCGATTTCGATGTTCCATGCAGTGCCGATCTCTTGTTGCGCACTCCGCCCGTCGCACGATCAGCATTGAAGTGGGGGGCCGGGGGGCTAACCAAGCAGCAGCTGCTTTTCGCACGGGATTGTTTACCAGCCTGGAACATATCGCTATCCCTGAGCTGGGCATCGCCGCATCACAATGCCAATCTTTGGGATGCCCTCAGTTTCTGAGGGTGCATCCCTAAGATTGTCATCGCCTTTTGGCGTGTCAATCTCAGGGATAGGGAGAAGTTCGAGGCCGGTGAATTCTAGGTCCACGGCTCAGGGAAGGCACCTCCCGAAGCGAGAGGCCAGCACCGCCCGATACTCGGCGCCGGAGCGCGCCGCTTCTGCACACGGAAACGGGGCGCGTCGCCCAGCCACGTACACACATTGTGTGAATCCACGCCTGCGCTCCTCCTCCTCCTCCTCCTCCTCCTCCTCCTCCTCCTCCTCCTCCTCCTCCCCCGCCCCCTCCCCTGGCCCTGCCCGCCGCCGTCGTCCGTCGTTGCTGCGATCGTTCAGCTGTCGTCCTCGTCCTCGCCGTCGCTGTTCGTCGTCGCCGTCGTGTCCGTGGCTCCCCCATTGCTCTCCGCCTGGACTCCTCTCGCCCCGTCGGGGCGCGCGGGGCCACCCTGGAATCTCAGAGCCCCTGCCCCCCCTGGCTGGCGACGTCAGCGTGCCTGCGCATGCCTGCGCACACGTGTGCGAGTGTGCACAGGCATGCGCAGAGGGCGCGCCGCTGGATGCCCCGGAGGGGGGGGGGGAGGTCCAGACGACGCCCCCCCCCCCCCCCCCCCTCCATCCGCCCCTTTCCCCGGTCCGTCGTCGCGGGATCCCCTTCCTTTCCCGATCCGCCGTCCCAGGCCCCTCCTGCCTTCCAGAAGGGGGGGGGGGGGCGTTCGAGCCCCTCCCCACCCTGTGGACTCTGAAATCGGACCCCACCCCCCCACCCCCTCCCCCTCGGCCACGCCTCCCCCCCTAACTTCAGAACACTCTTCCCTTATCCTACTGCCCTGACGCACCCTAACCCTCACAACCTAGCCGCCACACCCTAAGCCTAAACACACAAACCCGAACAACCTAACCCTAACACCTTAATACCCAAATGCTAACACCCTAACCCTAACACCCTAAGCCGAACACTACCGCCCTGAGCCGTAAGCCCTAACCCTGACACCCAAACCCGCACCCTACCGCCCTAACCCTAACACCCGAACCCTAACACCCGACCCCTACCTAGCCCTAACGCCCTACCGTACCGCCCTAACCCGAACCCGTCCACCCTAAGCGTAACACCCTGACACCAATACCCTAACACCCTACTCCGAACCCTGACACCCTAATCTTACCACCCTGGCCCTAACAACCTAACACCCTGAACCGTAACACCCTACCCGTAACACCCTAAGCCAAACACCCGAATCCTAATACCTATACGACCACCCTTCGAGTGATAAGGAGGTTCGGGGGGGGAGGAACCAACGTCTCACTCGATCGGTCTCACTATCGATCTCAGTATCGGTCTCGCTCGATCGATCTCCCTCGATCGATCTCCCTCGATCGATCTCACAATCGATCTCACTCGATCTATCTCACACTCGATCTCACTCGATGATCATCATCATCATCATCATCATCATCATCATCATCATCATCATCATCATCAACATCATCATCATCATCATCATCATCATCATCATCGTTCGCATCATCATCAGCATCATCATCATCAGCATCACCATCATCATCATCATCAGCATCAGCATCAACATCAGCATCAGCATCATCAGCAGCAGCATCATCAGCATCAGCATCAGCATCAGCATCAGCATCAGCATCACCATCATCATCATCATCATCATCATCATCATCATCATCATCATCATCTCATCGTCAACATCAACATCAACATCAACAACATCAACATCATCATCATCATCATCATCATCATCATCATCATCATCATCATCATCAGCATCAGCATCATCATCATCATCATCATCATCATCATCATCATCATCATCGCGGGACACCGCGGGACACCGGCGGGACACCGCGGGGCACCGCGGGACACCGCGGGACACCGCGGGACACCGGCGGGACACCGCGGGCCACCGGCCGCCCGGAAGGGAGACATTTGGTCCGGCCGCGCCTCAGCCACACGGGACACCAGCGGGACACCGGCGGGACACCGCGGGCCACCGGCCGCCCGGAAGGGAGACATTTGGTCCGGCCGCGCCTCAGCCACAGGAGACTTTCTTCTCGCCCGCCCACGCAGCTTCGCCTCGCCCGCACGCACGGCACGCACGAACACGAAACCGAAATCGATTTCCCGGTAGGGGGGCTCTCCGTTCCACTTCGATCTCACCCCCTCACCTTCGACCCTAGCGCCCGGACCCTAACCCTAAGCTCCAACCCCTAAGCCCAAAGCCCTAATCTCTAAGCCCAAAGCGCCGCGCCCTCAGCCTTCAGCCCTGAGACTATACTCCGAGGCTTTAACCCTAAGCCCCAGGCTACAAGCTCCAAGGCATAAACCAACAGCCTTACGCTCTAAGTGGCGACGATTGTACAATTCGAAGCCCCCCAGGGAGCTGCTAGTTCCCGGCTTGGTGTGCGTACTCTCTTACTCCGCCGTGCCTCCCAGGAGCCTACGAAATAGCGACGGCTGCGCAGTTCGCATCCCCCCAGGGAGCTGCCAGGTCCCGGCTGGGTGCGCGTACTCCCCTACTCCACCGTGCCTCCCAGGAGTCCACAACAGTGGCGACGGTTGCGCAGTTCGCAGCCCCACAGGGAGCTGCGAGGTTTCGGCTGGGTGCGCGTACTCCCCTACTCCGCCGTGCCTCCCAGGAGTCCACTACAGCGGCGACGGTTGCGCAGGTCGCAGTCCCCGAGGGAGCTGCGAGGTTTCGGCAGGGTGCGCCTCCCCAACTCCGCCGTGCCTCCCAGGAGTCCACTACAGTGACGACGGTCGCGCAGGTCGCAGTCCCCGAGGGAGCTGAGAGGCCCGAGCTGGGTGCGCGTACTCCCCTACTCCGCCGTGCAAATATCAGGAGCCCACGGAAGTGGCGACGGTTGCGCAGGTCGCAGTCCCCCAGGGAGCTGAGAGGCCCGAGCTGGGTGCGCGCACTCCCCTGCTCCGCCGTGCAAATATCAGGAGCCCACGGAAGTGGCGACGGTTGCGAAGTTCGCAGCCTATCAAGGGACTGCGAGATCTCGGCTGGGTGCGCGTACTCCCCTACTCCGCCGTGCCCCCCATGAGCCCACGGAAGTGGCGACGGTTGCGCAGTTCGCAGCCACCCATGGAGCAGCGCAGGAGGAGGCAGGAGGACGTGGGAGGAGAAGCGGAAGGAGCGGATACCACATTGCTCTATTCAAAACGAGTGCCCAGCACAGGATTGTTGGGAAAATACAATCCGGTGCATACTGGCTGCTGTTACCATTACCTTCTCAAGCCTTCAACCCTCACGAGCCCCGATGTCACATATTCGCAGTTCGCAGCCGCCCAGGGATGGCGAGGTCGAATCGAAGTCTACGTAAGGCATCACTCTGCTGGACCCCCCATCAGCCCTCGAAACTGTCGACAGTTTCACTGTTCGCTGCCCCCCCAAGCAGGCTTCAAAAGTGGCGACGGTTGTGCAGTTCGCACCCCCCAGGGATGGCGACGTCTAATCTGAATCTACCCCAAAGCGTCACTCCGCTGGCCCCCCGACAGCAGCCCTGAAAAGTGCCACCAGTTTCATAGATCGCTGCCCCTCCCCGGGGATGGCGATATCTAATCTAGGTTTACGTAAGGCGTCACTTCCCTGGACCCCCCAGCAGCCCTCGAAAGTGTCGACAGTTTCGCAATTCCAGCCAAGGATGGCGATATCTAATCTAGGTTTGCGTAAGGCGTCACTCCCCTGGACCCCCCAGCAGCCCTTGAAAGTGTCGACAGTTTCGCAATTCCAGCCAAGGATGGCGATATCTAATCTAGGTCTGCGTAAGGCGTCGCTCCGCTGGATCCCCCAGCAGCCCTCCGAAGTGTCGACAGTTTCGCAGCTCGCAACCCCTACAAGGATGGCGAGGCTTAGTTGTCGCCGCTTTCGAGGGCTGCTGACCCCCAGCAGCCCTCGAAAGCGGCGACAACTTTGCAGTTCGCAGCCCCACAGGTATGGCGAGGTTTAGTTTAGGTCTGCGTAAGACGGTCAGACGTGATTCCGCCGGACCCCCCTGCAGCCCTCGAAAGTGGCGACAGATTCGCCTCGAAGCCCCCGAGGGATGGCGAGGTGTAGCGTACATAGACCTGCGTAAGGCGCCGCTCTGCTGGACCCCCCAGCAGCCCTCGAACGTGGCGACAATATCGCAATTCGCAGCCTCCCAACGAACCCCCAAGCAAGACGGCGAGGTAGAAGGCAAGGTAGCCGGCAGGTAGGACGAGACAGGAGGAGTGGGGCGGGAGGAGGAGGAGTTCTGGACCGCAGTGCTCTGTTCAAAGCGAGAACCAATGCAGGAGTGTTGAGAGAACACCATGCGGCGCACATCTGCTGATCTTCGCCTCGCCTTCTCAGGCCTACAACCCTCACGATTCGATTCAAACATAATGCTTTTCTCCACATCCCGATCGCACATCTGCTGATATCAACATCGACTTCTGAAGCCCTGAACCTTCACGATCCTATGCAAATGATGCGTTTAGTTTTTTTTTTTCTGCACACGCGCAATCTGCGCCGCTCACGATGCTTTTTCACAAAAGCACTATGCGAAGCACATCTGCTGAACTAAACATCGCCTTCTCAAGCTTTCAACCTTCACAATCCTATGCAAATGATCTGTTTTTCTGTGCACCTCCTGTGTAAGCCTTTCACGAGTGCCGATCACGATCCTCTGGCCTAACACACAGAGACACAGAGGTTTCCACCCCAAGCCTCTCCAGCGCAAAGGGGGGGAGGGATGGGCGGTCCGAAATCCCCCCCTCTCCGGCGGGAGAGGGGGGTTCCCGAAACCCCCACCCCCTCCTTTCAAAGGGAGAGGGGTGGTCTCCCCTTTAAAGGCGGGGGGGGGGGTGCGAGCAAGCTCCCCCTTTCTGTTAGAGGGAGGGCTCCGAAAATCCCTCCCTTTGAAGGGAGGGGGGGATGTGCGAGCACCCCCCCTTTTCAATTAGAGGGACATCCACTGGCACTGTTTCGTTATTTGCAAGTGCTCCCCCGCGCCCCTTGTCGGCCTCCAGACGGCCTGGAGATAGCGCAATGTCGATCCCATACGACCTCGATGCCCCAAGACCGCCCAATATGGCCCAGCGATTCCCCAGAGGCTTTAAAGCGACGCCAAGAGGCTCTGATAATCTCTGGGCAGACCTCAAGGCACGCTCATAGAGGTCCCCTGGGGAGGCTCAGAGAGCCCAATAGCCCAAGCCCAGAAACGTGCCCAACTCATCTGCAAACAATTGGCACCAGCAGCATGCTCACCATACTCGTTGATCATTGGAGCAAGCATGCGGACGACGAAAAGACATGGTATTAGCAACGATGACGCAGCGACCTTGCGCGGTGGCTTGCGCGGGACGCCAACGTGGCACACCGTGTAGACAAGAAAAGGGCACTTAAGCGCGGCCTTGCGCGGGAACCTTGCGCGAATGTCTGCGTAATGAACATAATTTTCTTCCGTTGCTGGTGTGGCTCCCTGCGGAAGCTTTATACAGGTAGCCGTGCCGCTGCACGCCATATGGGACCGATTGGGCGCAACACTGCGGGAAACGAGGCTGAATGTGACGAAAAAAAGGACGACAACTGAGATGAGGAAAGGGCGACTGGAACGTGGCGATAGCTGCTCTCGGGCCGGGCGAAAGGGGGGGATATCAAAGGGGGTATTTGAGAATCAGCTCGCGCAGCTGATTTTTTCGGCGCCAGGCCATGTTTCGAGGCATGGGCCCCTCGGTGGGGCTGAAACCAGCTGCATGCAGCAGATTTCGTAGCCCCCCCCTTTCCCCATCCCCCCTTACGTTCGGCCCAGTGCTCGCCTGGCAGCGCCCAAAAGCAAGGAGCGCCGTTTCACGTGGCACCACCCCGCCAGACCCCCAGGACAGAGGGACGGGAGAGTGGCGAGGGCTGCCCGCCTGGCAGCACCCATGGACTTGCCGTCGCTCGGACGCCCATTCCTCGTGCGCTTTCCCGTTTCGTGCGCGTTTCTCTCGGCGGCGCGCACAAGGGGGTGGAGGGCGGGGGGAAGGCTTCGTCGAAGGAGGCTGCTTCTTAGATGGCGCCGGCCTTACATCTAAAGATAAGGCAACACGCCTTCTAAGAAGCAGGGGTGCCTCTAAGAACCTCCCCCCCCTCCCCCCACCCCCCTCTGTGCGTGGCTGATTTTTTTTCCCCAGGATGATCCAGGATGCTCCTCGATGATCCCCGTCGAGGAAAAAGTACTCCAGATTTCGTAATAAAGGGAGGGGGGTCTCATTTCGGGGGGGGTCTCTTCCAGGCTATCTTGGAGGGCCTGGGGGGGTCTGGGGACGATGTTTTGGAGGGTTCTCCCACGGGGGAGGTCTGAAATGGCTTGTCTTGGAGGGTCCAGACCCCCTCCCTTTTATTACGAAATCTGGAGTACACACACGTCCGAACGATACCAAAGTGGAGAGCGACAGCTCACCCGCGCCTGTGCCCGCCGCTCCTCCGCCGCAGCCGCCCCGGGCGGTGCGCAGGACGGCGACCACGGTTGCGCGCCCGGCGGCGCCCCCAGGAGGGCGATGTCTGGTGCGAGCCTCTACGCGCCGCGGAAGGGAGTTTTTCGGTCTCTGAGTGCTAAAAACCAATTGTTGAATTCAAAAAGGACTAGGTTTTGGATTCAAAAAACCAATTCGTGAATCCAGAAAGCATGTTTTGAATTTTAAAACCAAGTTCTGAGTTCAAGAAATCTTTTTTTGAATTCAAAAAAGAATATTTGAATTCAGAAAGCCAGTTTTTGGAACACAGAATCCAATTCTTTGAATTCAAACACCTGCCCCCCTGTTGGCAAGACTAAGGCTCAAGGTCTCCCAGATGGGGTCCGAGTAGATGGGGCCGGAGCATCGCGCCGCATCGCCGATGCATCGGCGATGCGGCTCGATCCAGAGCCCGACTCCCTCCACGCCGACGTCGCCGACGCATCGCAAACGCCGCCGATGCATCGGTGATGCGCCGGCGATGCGGCGCGATCCCCCGACCCCACTCGGACCCCATCTGGGAGGCCCAGAAAACGAGTCCTGGATCCTGGGGCTTTGCTCCGAGGCCAGCTCTCTGAGGACCCGCTTCGCCGAGGACCCCGGCCGCCGGGCCTCGGGACCGTCAGCCAGCGACTCGGGAAGAGAAGCGGGTCCTGGAGACCTCGGGGGCCGACGTCGTGAGCCAATCCTGGCGGTGGGGGTTCTGGGCTTTGCGGTGGGCGCATGCGCTAGGAAGCCGTGCTGCAAGAATTCTGGGGGGGCATGCTGCTCGGTCGATGTTGGTCTTCGCGGAGAAGCTCCGGAACTCCAATGTGTGCCCGGGGTCGTCGGGAACGACTGTCCGTGGGCCAGCCGCTGGCAGGCTGGTTTCTTATCTGGTGCGCCCACTGTAGTGCAAGCGTTGGTCTGAGAGCTCGATGGAAAACCACTTACACAACATACATCTCAAAATGCACGCCCGACCCTGTCCTGCAGAAGTCCGTCGCGCATAACGAGGCAGCAGTTGGTGGTCTCCTGAGGAGGTCGCACCACGCTGATGATAGCGAACAAAGGGAACGGATGTGGGTGGGGAGAGGGGGAGGGATGGAGGGTGAGGTGTGGGAGAGGCAGGGAGGAAGGGAGAGGGAGGGAGAGGAGGGACAAGTGGGGTGGAAGGAAGGATAAAGGGAGGGTTGAGGGAAGGAGGGCGAGGGAGTGGTTGTGTAAGGGTGTGGATGGAGAGACGATGGAGGCAGGGACGCGGACGAACGGTGTGTGTGTGTGTAGGGTCCAGGGGGGCAAGGAAAAGGAGCAGTCGTAGGACTTGGAGGACGACGGGGGGCCTCTCTGGGCAGCTGGCGAGGTGTGCGCGTGCGTGCGTGCGTGCGTGCGTGCGTGCGTGCGTGCGTGCGTGCGTGCGTGCGTGCGTGCGAGCGTGTGTGTGTGTGTGTGTGTGCGTGCTATAAATCACAAGCCGATGCCGTTTCGGCGGTGGAGAAACCTCCCTTTCGTAAACCTCCCCTTAGTGAAAATGGCCTGGGAACGAAACCGACGGACCTGGACCCACAAAAATAACGGCCGCGACGCCCTCTCGCGAACCGAAAACGGCCAATTCCCCAATCGACGTGTCAAGGTAGGAGGTCTATCCACCTCTCACCGTTTGAAAAGGGATACCGTGCGTAGGTTTGTTTGATTTGCGTTGATTGTCTTGGTTGGGGAAGGTGGATTCTCTCCCTCTCTCTCACACACACTCTCTCCTCCTGCATGGCCGCTACCGTGCCGCTGGGCAGTCACTGGAATCATGTCAGGACCCTTCGACTCCTCTGTGTTGAGTCTTATCTTCTCGGTTTGGGGGCACAGGCTCCCAGGGGGCGGGTTTCCTTTAGACCGCCGCGTGACTTCTGGGGTGTTGCACATGGCTTCTCCATCGGCATCGGGAGCGTGGTTGAGAGTCCATATTTCCAGCATGGCCCAAAACGGTCGGTGGGCCCGAGCTGGAGCCTTCTTGGGCGGACCTTGGGCTGTCTAGGAGACTTCAGGAGAATCGTTGAAGCATCACATGTCTTTAATTGTATTCTGCTTTTCGGTAAGAATAGAGGGCAACACATCCACCCCCATACTAACCACCCCGACACGCGAAGCCGTTTACAAAACGCCCCCACTGAAGGAATCGATCATGGCAGAACTATTTAACAAACGCCCAAGGCCGTGTAGTAAACGCCAATTGTCCGGTCCAGGTGTTTTCCTCCCTTGAAAGAACGCCCACGACCTCCCGAGGCTCCCACAGTATTGCCCAATGAACCGCCCAAGAGGGACTCGAGTTGACACTCCGAGCGCTGATGTGCGCGCTCGCACTTGAAGCTCGGCGGCCGCGCGCCCGACGTCGCGGCGGCCTCACGTCTGGTAGCCGCAATAGGTCTTCAGTGCCCCCCACAGTGCTGGTACATTATTCTTTCTTCCCTGCCCCAATTTTGGAGGCCTGGGAATGGGCACCAACACCAACTCAGGGGGTTGCCTCCACAGGGGGGAAGATGATCCTGGATTTCGGAGTTGGTGGTAATGTTTCGGTCACCTTGGAAGCCAGAATATTACCACCATCACCGAGATCGGGATCTTCTCCCATCGGTGGAGGCACACTGCCGATATTGGTGTTGCTGTCAACCTCTAGGCCTGCGATCATTACTTGAGGGCTGCCGACGCCCAACAACAACTGGCAAACAACTGCTGTTCCGACGCCGCAGCCAGCGCCGTGGTCGTCGTCGTCGCCGCCCTCGCCGCCGTGGTCGCCGCCCAGCAGGCGCCCAAGCCCCCGCACCTATACCTGCCAGCCAAGAGCCAAAACTCTGGGCGGGGGGGGGCGGGCGGCCCGTCCAACCTTAAAAGCCTCCTCATGCGCGCGGCAACCGGCGGAGACAGACCGTGGGGGGCGATACCCTCGTCCTCCTCCTCCTCCTCCTCCTCCTCCTCCTCCTCCTCCTCCCCCTCATCCCCCTTCTTCTTCTCCTCCTCCTCCTCCTGCTCATGCAACTTCTCCTCCTGCTCCTCCTCCTGCTGCTCCTCCTCCTCCTCCTCCTCCTCCTCCTCCTCCTCCTCCTCATGCAACAAGTGGCATGCGTGCGGCGCATGCGCGCGGCAACCATGGGAGGCGGCGGTTAGCGCGGCGAGAGCCGACGACGGACGCGGAGAAGGGAGAACCTGCTTAGTTGTCATGCACATGCTTCTTGGGAGTGGTACCCGAGGTACCCAAGGAGGCACCCGAGGTACCCAGGGAGGTACCCGAGGTGCCCAAGTGTTGTCATGCACATGCTTATTGGGAGGGGTACCCGAGGGACCCAATACCCAAGGTGCTCAATAGTTGTCATGCACATGCTTATTGGGAGTGGTACCCGAGGTACCCAAGGAGGCACCCGAGGTACCCAGGGAGGTACCCGAGGTGCCCAAGTGTTGTCATGCACATGCTTATTGGGAGGGGTACCCGAGGGACCCAATACCCAAGGTGCTCAATAGTTGTCATGCACATGCTTATTGGGAGTGGTACCCGAGGTACCCAAGGAGGCACCCGAGGTACCCAGGGAGGTACCCGAGGTGCCCAATTGTTGTCATGCACATGCTTATTGGGAGGGGTACCCGAGGGACCCAAGGAGGCACCCGAGGTACCCAGGGAGGTACCCGAGGTGCCCAATGGCTGTCATGCACATGCTTAGTTGTCATGCACATGCTTATTGGGAGTGGTACCCGAGGTACCCAGGGAGGTACCCGAGGTGCCCAAGTGTTGTCATGCACATGCTTATTGGGAGGGGTACCCGAGGGACCCAATACCCAAGGTGCTCAATAGTTGTCATGCACATGCTTATTGGGAGTGGTACCCGAGGTACCCAAGGAGGCACCCGAGGTACCCAGGGAGGTACCCGAGGTGCCCAAGTGTTGTCATGCACATGCTTATTGGGAGGGGTACCCGAGGGACCCAATACCCAAGGTGCTCAATAGTTGTCATGCACATGCTTATTGGGAGTGGTACCCGAGGTACCCAAGGAGGCACCCGAGGTACCCAGGGAGGTACCCGAGGAGCCCAATTGTTGTCATGCACATGCTTATTGGGAGGGGTACCCGAGGGACCCAAGGAGGCACCCGAGGTACCTAGGGAGGTACCCGAGGTGCCCAATGGCTGTCATGCACATGCTTAGTTGTCATGCACATGCTTATTGGGAGTGGTACCCGAGGTACCCAAGGAGGCACCCGAGGTACCCAGGGAGGTACCCGAGGTGCCCAAGTGTTGTCATGCACATGCTTAGTTGTCATGCACATGCTTATTGGGAGTGGTACCCGAGGTACCCAAGGAGGCACCCGAGGTACCCAGGGAGGTACCCGAAATGCCCAATTGTTGTCCGGCTGCCGGCGACCGGCGACCGGCGACCGGCTGGCCGGCGACCAGCGTCCGGCGCCCGGCGACCGGCGGCCCCATGCGGGGGACCGGCTTCCTCCTCCTCCTCCTCCTTTCGGGTCGTCCGTCGGCCTGTCGGCCGCGCTTCGGCGCATGCACCCTTACCCTTACCCTTACCCTCCTCCGCCTCCTTCTCCTCCTCCTCCAACTCCAACTCCTCCTCCTCCTCCTCCTCCTCCTCCTCCTCCTCCTCCTCCTCCTCCTCCTCCTCCTCCTCCTACTCCCCCTGACCACCCCAGGGGGTGAGCTGGGGCCAACGCTTCGGATCGGATCCGGCCGTGGCCACGAGGAGGCCCAGAGAGCCACGAGGACACACACACACACAGCAGACTGCATCCCCGATCCTCGAGCGTCGGCTCTCCTCCTCCGCCTCCTCCTCCTCCTCCTCCCCCCTTCTGGGCGGGAGGCCCCGCCGCCCTCCCCGCCGGCTCCTGCGCAGAGGCGGAGAGGCCCTGCACCGCAGGGGTGATTCGTTGCCTGCGGGAGGCGCTCGGCAGCGGGCAGCGGCCGGGTGCGGCAAGGCAGCGGGCGAGCGTGGGACCGAAATGCCCCTGGCGGCTGCCCTTTGGGCGGCTCAAGTGCTGTGGCTGCTACATATCGGCGGTCATGGGCTAGCCCGAGTCTGAGCAGCATGTCTGTGTGAGTCTGTGCGTGAGTGCCAGTGCGTGGCTGAGTCTGGGTGGGGGTCTGAAACTGAATGAGTCTGAGTGCGATTGATCCGAATGCTTGAGGTAGGAATGTGGGTGAATCTAAATATGAGCGGGTCTGAACACAAATGGATCTGTGTGTGACATGTGTATGAGAGATCTGAGTGAGTCGTAGTGTGAGCGAGTCCGAGTGTGGGTGAGTCTCAGTCTGAGTGACTCTGTCAGTGAGTTCGACCTGCGTATGAGCACATCTGAGTGCGAGAAGATCTGTGCCAATGAGTTTGAATCTGAGTGAGTCTGAATGTGGAACGGAGATGTCCGGAGGGTGGGAAGCGGGGGTGTCACACGAATAACAGAGGCCCCAAACTTAGAATGTAGAGGGCAAAAGCCACGCGGGGCGCGCCTTTGAGAGTTCATACAAATGTGACTGTTTGGGTCTCGGGCGACCCCCAGCGCCGTGATTCTCTTGCAGCGTGGACCCGCGAAATTCTCGACGCCTTCCCAAGAGGCCGGCGTTTCATTCTGGGTCGCCTTTTGACGCCCCCCCAGGGCCTGGTCAAGGGCCCCTCCTCAAGCTGAAAACTGGCAAAGTCTTCCGTCGTGGCTTTTTCACGCGAGGGGGCCTGCATTCCGAGGTCACCAAGCCGATCCGATGGCGCGTTCTGGCCAGGACTTCGAGGCGGATCCAGCCGTGCCGATGAAAACCTTCCAAGAGGCGTCAGGATCTCATAGAAGCCACGGGCTTCAAAGTTTCGGCCATTCGATATTTCGAGCAGCGAGAGCGTTGTGCTTCTTTGTTTGGTGTTGTGCTGATTGTTTGTCGATGCATTCCTCCCCCGCAAGGGCGTATATCTACCATACGCTGCCAAACTCGGTCAACAACTGGATCCGAATCTCTCTCACGCGTCCTGTGAAGATGATGCCGAACGCAGTACACGTCGGTCGGAAGAAGAGGTAAACACCTGAAATAGGAAGGCGGATCACGTGGATTGGGTTCAGGCCCTTCCAGAGAATAACAGCACACAGCAAACGCCTATCTGTTTATCTGTTCTCGAACTAGGAAGGCGCCGAACGCAGATTTGGATCTGGGGATCCAGAAATACCTGCTCTCAACGATCGACGTGTGCGTCCGATACGTTTGCATCTCCTCAACGCTGCGTCCCCATGGTACGAGCAGCGAGGCCGTGGGCCCGGCCGCCGCTGGAGAGGAGGCGGTGACCGCTGCTGCGCTGGCCGCGGCGGCGGGGGGACGGGCGCGCATCGGCACGACTGTGTTGGCCGTCGCGTCCTTCGGCACGTAGAGGCTCGCCTCGGGGCGGAGCGAGAAGAGGGCAGCTTGGTTCGCCTCCCTCCTCCTCCTCCTCCTCCTCCTCCTCCTGGAGGGGATCCAGGTGCGGTTGGCCCGAATGAACCTTCCAGGATTTCGAGAACCGGATTCCCTTTGGGTAGGGTAACCTACCGTTGCGCAGCATGCGGAACTGGGCCGATTTAAAGGTCGTGCATTCCCCGAACAGCCGAGCTGGTCTTCCCGTGGTGTAAGACCCGCATCTGTTACGGTGCAAGACCACCGCTCCTGCCCAAAAGAAGTGGGCAGGCTCGGGCGGCACCACTGGATTAAGAACAGAGACCAGCGATCTCGGGAACGGCGTGCACGGTCCCCTCCTGCAGTGGAAGGGTCTGGTCGTGGCTCTGCTACCTGCCATTGGTTAAGGGCCCACCGAGTTTTGTGTTTACCGAGACGACCAGAGGCGCTTCCTGTGGAGGTCCTAAAGGTCTCCTCGAGGTCACCGGCAACGACCTTCGCTTTTACCCAGGGTCCCAGGAACAAACAAAGCACCTCAAAAACATCCGGCCAAGTTTTGTAGCTGGTCTCTACACGATCAACGTCGTCTTTACAACCTCGACCTGTAGCAATGTCCTTAGCTAGAACATCCGTCCACTCGTTACCGAGGACCCTCCTGTGCTATTCCACAGACCTGTCCGCACGGAGAGTGCTTTGATGGGTCTTGATCTGCTGAATTTGCCAATCCTGCGTGCTAGTGGGTTGGTTGATCTGTCGCCAGTGCCCAGCTTGTTGCCTCCTGCCATCTCGCGATTTGCCAAGGACATCAAGACCTTGTACGATAGCATCACCATCCGGATACAGCAACCTCTTCTCGCAAACAGCGGGGTGGCGGGGCGAATCGCGGAACCACCAACACAAATCTCGGCCCCAGGATCACCCCAAGCAAACTGCTCGATGAGACCAGACCTGTCGAGGTATACTCAACTCTGTCATCTTCAGGGGGGGGGGTTCTCGACGAGAGGCACCTCCATGCAGAGACAACTGCACAGGGGGCCCCGTGGCCCAGCCTCAAGGGCCGAATTCATCGGAGCTTTGTCCAGCTGCTGGCGAGGAGTGCCACCGAACGGGCAAGGCCACACGCGGTGAACAGCCATGCCAGGAGCTCCACAAGGCTGGCGCTTCATGGGAACTTTGTGTACCCTCGCTGCTGCAGGACTGCGCCTGCTTGCCGGAGGATCGGCTTGGCATGCGCGCTGTGCTTGCCTGAGCCCCGCGCGCTTGAAACACGATGCGTCCACAGCCCTCTCTAGCGAATTAGGCTAGCCCTTGCAGACTGGACGTCCTGGAGCTTGTCACAGTCCTGTGAAAGCTTTGTTTTAGAGGTCCGCCCGCCTTCGTCCCCCTCCTCGTCCTCGTCCCTCTCTGCTCCTCCTCCTCCTCCTCCTGCTCCTCCTCCTGCTCCTGCTCCTCCTCCTCCTGCTCCTGCTCCTTCTCCTCCTCCAACGACGACGACGACGATGACGTTGACGACAAAGCAAACGACGCGCGAGTGGTCCCCGAGAAGGCGCCTGGGCAGCAGCCTCTCCCGCGTTGCGGGGCCCTCTCCCTCCCGCCCTCCCCCATCTTACCCCCCCCATGATCTCCCGTCCACTCTCCACGCAAAATTCCTAGCTACAGCTGTATAATTTTGGTGCGACTTGGATTGGCAAGCGATCCTCTCGTAGGAGAGCCTAGAATCTAATTGATAAATCGGACCGGCGATCGACATGAATCGGGTCCGCAGAAATCGGCAGCCAAGTCGGTCGAACCGAATGAAATCGACCAGCCAGTCGGCCTCCTTTGAGGTCTCAAATCGATTCTCTACCCTGCTACCCTGGTAGCTTGCTACTCTGCTGGGCTACCCTGCTACCTTGCTACCTTCCTGCGGCCTCGATGCCGAGCAAGGTAACAGGGTGGCAGGGTAGCAAAGCGGTGCAACATCGATCCGCCAGCCTGCTACCATGCTACCTTGCTGTGGCCTCGCAGCCGAGCAAGGTAGCAAGGCAGCAGGGTAGCAAGGTCGCAGGGTAGCAAGGTAGCAGGGCGGCAGGGTCGCCGGGTAGCCGGGTAACCGGGTAGCGGGGTAGCAGGGTAACAGGGTAGCAAGGTAGCAGGGTAGCAGGGACTGGGGACAGGGTTGCCGTGACTGGGGACAGGTTCGCCGTGACTGGGGGCGCGTTCGCCGTGACCGGTGACAAAGTCGCCGTGACTGGGGACAGGGTCGCCGTGACTGGGGACAGGGTCGCCGCGACTGGGGACAAGTTCGCCGTGACTGGGGGCAAGCTCGCCGTGACTGGGGACAGGTCGCCGTGATTGGGGACAGGGTCGCCGTGGCTGGGGACAGTGTCGCGGTGACTGGGGACAAGGTCGCCGCGACTGGGGACGGTTTCGCCGTGGCCGGGGACGAGCTCACCGTATATATCCATATATATGTGTGTGTAAACACACATCCAGAGTTACATTCATACGTATAAACATATTACGTATACTTCTATACACACGTATAGATGCACATGCATGTATACATGTGTGCATGTTTTTTTTTGCGTGTCCGCATGCAAGGTTGTATATTTATATACTATACATATATGTATACATGTGCATGCACATACAAACATACATACGCACATACATATATGCATACGTACATGCATACAACACCAATCCACTTGTATTTAAACATGCACAATGATATGCATACACATACGATGACGCATATGCGTATACATCTGCGTCTTCATATACACATGCACAATCACACATATATATATGTATATATATATATATATATATATATATAATATATATATATCCGCCGGCCCCCTTGTGGGGCCACCAGGCTGTAGGCGCGGGTTCGCAGTTTCCAGTACCAGTTGTAGCTTGTAGTTTCCAGTGTTACAGTTCTGCTTCTTGCTGGTTACTGTAACTAGTTGACTTCTTGCTGGTTACTGTAACTAGTTGATTGACCGCGCGAGGGGGGGGGAGGCCCAAACAAGACTTTTAGCGTCTCCTGGGCGCGTTGTCTGAATTGCTGGGGGGGCTCGAAATCGACACCCCTCACGCAGATCCGCGGGGTCAGGGTTCAAAAACACAGGGGATGTGCCACATTTCTGAAATTCGGTGCCACCCCTCACGCAGATCCGCGGGATCAGGGTCCAAAAACATATGGGATTTGCCACATTTCGGAAATTCGGTGCCACCCCTCACGCAGATCCGCGGGGTCAGGGTCCAAAAACACAAGTGATGTGCCACATTTCTGAAATTCGGTGCCACCCCTCACGCAGATCCGCGGGGTCAGGGTCCAATAACACATGGGATTTGCCACATTTCTGCAATTCGATGCCACCCCTCACGCACATCCATCGCAAGGCGTGGTAACCCAAACTGCGAGAACTCCCTCGACCCTGCAATCGCAAGGTGTGGTAACCAAGCCCGTAAACCATACACGTCTTACCAATCGCCAGGTGTGGTAACCCCTCTTGTGATCAGTTGTTTTTGCTGACTGCGAATCGGCTCCGCATGAAGTTTCGATACTGCCTCACGACAGCGCCAAGGCCTCATGACTTAGCTCTTCCATGGCCCATTCTCCGAGAGAGGGGGCCGGCGGCAGGGGGCGAAGCCCTTACGGATATATGTATATATATATATATATATATATACACATAAATTTGCACACGCGTATACCATATACATATACATACACATATACATATACACATGTGTATGTAATTGTGTATGTGTATGTGCGCATATGTATATGTATATATAATTATGTTTTGCCAGGCTATATTTTTCACGCCGCAGAAAAGCCTCGCAGCAACGCGCCCTGGTCTCATTCTCGCAGCATCACGCCACGGAGCTAAGTTGGACAGCATCGCGCAGCATCGCGCCACGGTTAAATTCAAAATCCGGTTTCGCGCCACTGTTCATGAGACTGCAATCGGTTGCCATGGCAATGTCCCCTTCAGCGCTCTCTGCCAGAAACACAGACACGCACTGATGCGCACCAGCGGCACCTTGCGGCGCCCGCCTCCGAGAGCACGCTGGAGCACGTGGAACGCCTGCCGCTGAGCTTGTTTTGTTCGCAGACCGTTTGTCCAAACGATGTGCAAGCCACTGCGCGTACCTGGCCCTATCGGCCAAATTTCAACAATGAGATCCAGGTCCGACGTCCCTCTCCGGAATCCAGCGATCCCGCGACTGCCTGCCAGGACGCAAATCTCGAAAGCGCGCTTGATGAAATAATCCCCGGCGTTGAAGATGCGACGACAAGCTGCCAGCGACCCATGGGCAGCGCGCAGTGCATCTCTGCGCCCGCTGATCGTCGTCGCAGTATTCCACTTCTGTAAATTTGCAGCAAGAGCGCTCGAATGATGCGCGAACAACTCGCCGCATGCGCCGGAAAACTCCGAAATGGCCAGTCCCCCATGGGCTTGTTCTCCACGCCAAAACGGCTTCTCCTCACGGACATGCTCAGCCAGCGCCTCCTGGAAGACTGGGTGGGTGGCAGTGGGCACCAGCGATCCCTTCAGAGAGTCCACAATGTCGGGCCGTCCCGAGTATGATGCAACCACCACGAACCGCGCGAGGGCTCCCCATGAGTCAGAACCTGGCTGCGGCTTGTCCTCGCTCGCGAATGCCTCAGCCATGGTCGACACCAGACGCCGCTGGTCTTGTGGAGAATGCTCTTCATACGCTGACACAGGCGTCGACGACCGCAAGACAAAAATTACATAGCTTGTGAATGTTCGCGTGTCAGTGGCATCGGCAAACTTGGCACCGCAACTGCGCGCTCGCCCGTTGGGGGCGCCGCAGACGCGGCAGCGACTGTCAGCCACGCGACTGCCAAGTCTGCTCGTGGCTAGGGGGTTACTTGCCGCTGCTGCTCTCGTACCAACATCCCAAAGGAAACCTATTAGCAATTCCTGAGCACCTGTCTTACGATGCTGCTCAGCTCGCTCGCGCTCCCTTGGGGCACGCTTCCG